TGTTTGCCAGGTACATTCACGATAGTCCGAGTTTGTTCGCCAGGTACATTCACGATAGTCCCGAGTTTGTTCGCCAGGTACATTCACGATAGTCCCGAGTTTGTTCGCCAGGTACACACGATAGTCCGAGTTTGTTCGCCAGGCACATTCACGATAGTCCTCGTGCAATTACGCACCCATTGCACGAAAGTCCTCGTGCAAGTACGCACTCAATCCACTCTCACAAGTCTAATGATCAGCACATGCATCAAGTTGAAAGAAAATAGTAAGTTTAATTGATGGACGGTACACAAATGTGCCTGCTGATGAACAGGCCTTGATCTCGAATCCCATAAAAATAATAAACTTAAAGAGCACGAAGTGCCTCCCCCATGTTGAGAGGGGGGGGAAAAGAGAGGAAACCTGAAGTGTTTGAAGATAAACTGCAACCAACTCGTGCTTTAATTCCAGGGTCCACATCACACTTACATCGACTTTGATTTTGCCAAAGAACTCAAGATTCGCCTCATACAAGCTGGTGCCTGCTTTCGCTGCAAAGCTCAGCTTGCCCTCGGGCTCCAATTTAATCTTCGGATCTTTAGCATCTGGCAGCTCAACTGTCAGGTAAAGTTTATCGGTCCGCTGGGCCCACAGAATGCCAGGATGCAAACTGCACAACGAACACAGGAAACATCCAATCTCATATCAGAAATACGGAAAAAGAGACATTGTCCACGTCATTACTCGTAAAGAGATTACAAATTTCGCTCTGAGCTGCTAGGCACATGATGAAAACCAAATGTGTCACCGAATCTTTGTACTCACAGTCAGTTGTTAAAAAAAAAAAAAAAAAGCAATTCCGTAGACTCACATTTTCCATTCACATTGCTTCTTTTCATTTCGCAGTTTTCACAAAATGACCAACAGTAGAATGATTTTGACCAACAGTAGAATGATTTCTTCTGTATTTTAAAGGACGCTTCGCGAAGCTCCGAGATCGTTTCACATTGGCTCCTTGAGGTCGCATTCCTTCCTCTGGGCGGACCTTTCTGCTCGAGCGAGCCTCTACGAAGCAGATCTGCGGCTCCTCAAACCTCCCCGATAACTCCATCCCAATTCAGATCAGTAACTAACACAGCTACCACACTCTCCCAATCAGGGAGAGAGGAGAAAAACACCGCCAGGAGACCAAAATCGCTCCTTGGAGGTTGCGTGCCCATCAGCTGGATCTGGATCATATACAAAGCCCACCCTTACGTACTGCGAACTCTGCCAGAGCAGACAAAACAGACAATACAAGCAAACACTCCACACAAGACAGTGTCGTCCTGCGTAGCTGCACTCCACGGTCACAATAACTCTACAAACATGGCATCAACTGGGCGTAATGGTCGGGTTCATGGCCTTCGGATCTCGTACCTCCATCGCGATCAAAAGCATGCTACCTTACTAGACAAGACATCACATCTAACCTAAAAGTTCATTCCACTTTTTTACATACATACATGAATGAACTGATCCTCTATCTGAGACGAAGTTCATTCCACTTTTTTACATACATACATGAATGAACTGATCCTCTATCTGAGAGGAAGTTCATTCCACTTTTTTACATACATGAATGAACTGATCCTCTATCTGAGAGGAAGATGGCCAGAACAAACGCCTTTCCGAACTAAGAAGAAGCCCTATCTCATCCCGTACTCCGTACTTCTCTTCCATTTATCAAATAGATCCCTCCTTATTCCTAAGAGCCTGACGAACGGCAGTCCCTACCGTTCACGACCGCTTAACTAGTGAAAAACCTTCTATTCAGAAGAGCTAAGTAGTGTGGACGGCAGCATTTACAACCCAATTCTCAAATAGATCCCTCCATTTCCTACGCCTGTTCCCGACTGCTAAGTAGTATGGACGGCGGCATTTACAACCCGTTGGGTACGACTACTTTCCCAAATATCTGTCATGTCTCACCAATACAATCCGCAGCAGCACTAGAGAAAACACCATGTGGGAGTCTCTATAACGAGAGGATACTCTTCATGCTGAGACCTTCACAGGTATAACGGAAAAGAAAATCGCTAAACTAAGACCCTAGCCCGCCGGACTAGAAAGGGCCTGCCAAGGTCTTCCATACCGCTGTGCTCTGTGGTCGTCCGTGTTCGTTTTCGAAACGCACCTGTGCCGAGGCTCCATCGAGCCCCTACCGGGCCTGTCAAGGTCTTCCATGAATTCAGGAAGGCTTGTGTTTTTGCCTGGGCGGGGTACTGGTCGTTTAAGCCCCGATTAATACAACGGGATGACGTCCGAGGAAGCGTGTTAAGCCCCGAGTAACAGGCGGGGTAGTGGTCGTTTAAGCCCCGATTAATAGAACGGGATGACGTCCAAGAAAGCGTGTTAAGCCCCGATTAACAGAACGGGATCACGTCCGAGATGTAACCACACGATTGTATCAATGCCCAGTGCGGATGTTTTATTGCACAGGGCCTGCTCGCCAAGCCTACCGTCTTCCCCCGAACAGAACGTAAGACAAGGATAGCTGCATTTGGGGCAACTTTCAGTCTAGATACAGCGATAATGACCGTACGTTCTATGGGGGGGAACACAGACGGGCATCCGTTTCCAGCACTTACAGCTGTCCTTGCAAGGGCCAATATTGCCCTTGACAGACACAGACTTGCCGCCAGCTCCCTTAGGGTCTGCTCTTTACTGCTACCTCTAAGACGCCTGCGATGGCCTTCGGCTGTCTCCCTTGCTGCCTTTCAAGAATCGACAGCCTAACTCCCAAAGGATGTTGTGGAATTGAAGGTTCTGTCTCGATCTAGAAGACTCCCTTTTGGACAAATTGCGCGACCTACTGTGATTCCGCATTTGCCTGTCTCCCAGGATTACTGCAGTCTGCCTCGAGACAGAAGGATGATCTTCATGACATGTAGCACAGGTGACCTACGTCCTACCGTCTTCCCCCGAACACAACGCACCCTTATTTTGGCTGTATCTGGCCGGAAATATAGCTTGTATACATTCATTTTTAGGGTGCGTTATGTTCGGAGGAAGACGGTAACAAAGCCGATCGATCGACCAATAAGCTCTCCGAGTTTAGATCGATCACGAACCCACTAGAATAAGTGAGGGACTACAGTCTTGACCCGAATAGAACGCACGGTCAAAATAACCGTATAAGTGAGGGACTACAGTCTTGACCCGAATAGAACGCACGGTCAAAATAACCGTAACAGAGTCAACTTTCAGTCTGGATGCATCGATACTGACCGGGTGTTCTATTCGGGTGAAAGACCGGTCACAAACTGACCCAAATAAGCAGGCAGACAGAACACACCTCCATCGAGGAAAACGCTCTCTAAGGTAAACCAGTCAAGCATCGAAGCAGGAACGGACTTTGCAAAAGGAACTTCAGTCTAAGGAAGAAAAAATCGAAATGAAAAACACAACCAATACATAACGGAACAACTGAACGGACTTTGCCCGAAATGAAGACAGACCAGACAGAAACAAACGGCAATAAGATAAAATGCTCGCACCACCAAACCACACAAAGAGTGCAGTACATATATGGTCGAAAATTTGGTCTCTTCCGTCTCCGTAAGAACAGTCTCATTGACTGCCTGCATGAGACCCAACCCTGAAATGTTAGATATATAACACTCTGCAAATGACCTGAAAACAGTCCATAATGGCCCACACCTGGTACTCAGAGAATACCGATGTACGAAAGGACAACAATGCGATCAACAGTGTGACAAATGAGCCGTCGAAACCAGCCTCCAAGTGCGAAACAGACGATGGGAGAACGGATGAAAATGCTCCAGAAATACACAATATGGGAGCAAATAACAAACACAAGTCGTCGTCCGTCGCCCGAATAGAATGTTAGGGTGCCTATAGCTGCACTTGGGTAACTTTCCGTCTGGATACAGGAATAATGCCCGGGTAGTACGTTCTATTCGGGGGAAGACGGGTAACGAGAGCCAAGACACCTCGAACACAATAAATCTCAAGAGCTGATGGCGATCGCGATCCCCTCCATCTTCTTTCTCCGCAGGCTTTGAACTCCAACACCGGCTATGGACAGCTGGGCCAAACCTATCGCAATAAACAGCCGACAGTGCCAGTGACTTTCTAACAGGCCCCTCCTCCTTCGAGCAGCTTCGGCCCCCTGCCCTCGGGTCCCCCCCATTCACGCCGCCAAAACGCAAATGCACTCCACTCTACATCCCCTCCATCAGGAGAAGTTTCTACCCTTGCCACCCTCTCACAACAGCCGATACATTTTTTGTCCCTCCTTAAGCGCAGAATGTTCCATTCACCAAAGAAGAAAACAGTACACCGTCAACTCAATCGTGTAATGCTGTCTGATATTTACCCATGAGCCCCGAATGCCCCTATTCTTCTGCACTTTGAAGACTTTCCCATCACTTCGATTCCTCGGCATTCTACCCCTTCAATAATTACCTCCAATTCCCACCATGACCCCACTCGCGCCACGCGTCTGCATAACGCCTGAACCCTCCCACTTCTCCGGAATGCCCCGCTCGCACAGTTCTCATGCGCCGTTTCTTGCCTCTATATCCCGTCCTTCAGCCTCCTCTGCCAGCAAAACCTCCTGCCTCCTGACGCCCAACGTAGTTTTCGTCACCCCTGGTGCAACAAAACTCTTAAACATTGCCAAATTGGTCGGCCAAGCATGAAAGACCATGCCGCTATCTTTCCCTCACTATGTTGATCGAAGACAGGTTCTCTAAATATGAAGGCCTGGGCGCACAACAAAATACGAATCTACCAAGTTGGCTTTCAAGATCAGACATCGACACAAACTTCTCAACCAGTTTAGATCATCGTCGCGCGTCGGCCTCCTCTGCGACACCTGCGCGTCGCTATCGTACTTGCAATACTCTACAATTTCTCAGTGCATGCCGTCATGCACTACTGCCTGTCATGTGCCCATCCTAACAAGTCACAGAGACATAACGCACCACCTTGCGGAACAGGTAAATCACAACAGAGAGCATAAGAACAGAATACGGAAAGGACAAAAAGGGAAAAATAGTGCAAAAATGGGCAATCGGCAGGAAAACGCCGCGGGAGGAAACTGGACAAAGTTGGGGGACCACAAAGGCCGGGAAGATGGGGCGAGGGCGCCGCCGCCGCCCTCCCGGACCGGGGGGGGGGAGAGGAGAGGCCAAGGGGTCAAGAGAGCGTTTCCCCGAGGGTTGAGAGAACGAGGACAGTGGTAGGTAGAGGCTTGAGGGAAACGAGGGACTGACCACGGAGAGAAGTGGGCTGAAACATGCCGGGAGGAGAGGAAGAAGAAACCAGGCAGTCGAGGAGGGGCGAGAACGGGCGAGGAGGAAGGAGACGGGCGAGAAGAAAGCACCACGGATACGAGGTAGGGGAGCAGCGTAGACGGGGTGGGGAGGTAGGGATGAAGCACGGAGGAAGACGTAGTCGGGTTCGGAAGAGGCCGATGTCAGGAAGAAACGAGGAGTGGATGCAGAAGGGGTAGAGGCAGATGATGAGACAGTTGACGGAAAATAGGGGTGAAAGAGTATCCTACGGGAAGAGAGGCAGTTGCTGAGGTGACGAGGAGACAGACGGGGTGAGGGAAGAGGGGGGAAGAGAGGGGACGAGGGAAGAGACGGCGGGAGAGGGGGGAGCGGCTACGGGAGATGGGGTGCGCGACGAGGGGACGCAGGAGGGACAGGCAGAGGGATTAAGGAAGACGAGAGCAAAAGGTTGGGAGGAGGAAAACGCAGGCGCAGAGTTGAGAGGCTCGCGAAGAGACGGAGGAAAGGCAACAGAATGGATATGGACTGACAAAGACACGCAAGGCAAGACGGAGAGTAAAAGTAAGCAGATCACGCAGCACAAGGAGGCAGAAGGCGCAGTGCGGAGCTGAAAGCAGGGAGTGGGAAAAGTGGAAGGGCAGTCATAGATGAGAAGAAGAGGGGATGGCAACGAGAAAAGACGGAGAAAAGGAGGAATATGGGAGGCAGGAAAACGACGTGGGGGAGAGAGCAATCAAATGGAAAAGGAGGGGTCAGAAAGAGGATGCGAGGATGTGACGAAGACGAGACACGGAGACTGTAAAGAGGTGAGGGCAGAGGCAGAGCAACATGGAGAAGAGGCAAGGACAGCCGGCGGCGAGACGAGGAAAAGAGCGCGCAGGGAAATAAGACGAGAAAACAAAAAGAGGCAAAAACTGAGCAGAGAACGGATAAGAGAGGATAGAGGAGAGAAGAAGAGTGGAGGAGAAGCGGAAGACACCGATGGGACTTTCAGGGACGATCAGTAGAGTCGAAAAAGGAGACCTCCAAAGAAGCGGAGCAGTAAGATCTGCGCGGAGTGGAACTCGGTGAAGACAAGGTCCAGCGGAGCGAGTGAGGGAGACCAACAAAAAGAGACGCCGAGCAAAGTTTCCACAAAGATGAGAGTGACGATAAGGTGTCAAGAAAACGAGCATACGCAGTGATGATAGTAACCGCAACAGGAATGGACCAACAACCGGGGAACAAGTGAAACCGGGGAGGGCGACAGCCCACAAAACGTACCCACCAAACGGTCTGAAAGAGTGAAGCAGTCAGATAATCGTAGAAACCGAAGAACGCAACGCAGAAAACCACTGAAACAGAGATAGGCCGCTGGAGTGGTCGACGGCAGAAAGCAGCGGCAGTCAGGATCACTAGTCAGGAGCATCAGCCACGACTAGCAATAAGGAGCAACAGCCAAGGGCAGCAGCAAGGAGTAGCAGTCAGCAGAACCAGCAGGAACCGTACGGTGGGACAGCAAACGAAAAAGTATATGAAGAACAGAGAACACACGAAAAAAAAAGACAATCATACATAAAGAAAATAAAACAAAGACGAGGCAGACGGTAATTGAAAATGGGAGGTGAACGTGAGCGTGTAACGACGAACCAAAACATGCCACAGGGATCTGGGGCATATCACGATGCCCGCGGGTCCGATTGACATCGCAAGCGCGATACGCGACTGCGGCAAAATGGAGCACAGGAAGGGAATCAGAGCTCAGGGATAAGGCTTACAAGCGAGCAATTGAGCTACAGGTGCAGAACGGGATGACAGAGAGAACAATCAAAACAGGAGGATCGTAAACCTTGGAACGAGAAAGAGCGAAAAGACATACAAAATAAAACGAGGGAGACGAGAACGCGGGAGGATTGGGGAAAGAGAAACGGACAGGAAGAGAGGGGAGATCCGGAGAGTGTACAAGCAAAGAGTTTAAAGCACTGTAAGATCCACAAATGTTGAACCCTAAAATAGGTCATAAATCTTTAGACTTTTCCACTTATTACACCCCCTCCTCCCCCCCCCCGCYCCCCCTACACAAGCAAACAGCCTGAGGATCAGAAAACCGAAGACAAAAATTGGGCATGGTTTTGACTTCCCACAAGTAAGGGCTATAGACAACCTTGTACTGCGCATCATTCGTCAAACAAAACACAACACCTATAACGCGTGTGGAACTCACCTCATCTTCTTCGCCTTATTGGATGATGGCACCAGGTAGGTAGCTCCTCAAGTGATCGGCTGCGACTGTCGAAAAGAGCGATGGCCTCCTTCCTATGGCTTGTTGTGCACTAATCAACCACCGTTTCTATCGCCAACTAGAAGACAACCGGGAACCAATCACTCGAGTGTGGCTATGCGTGCTTGCAGACGGGATTGAACTACTCCCACGCGAAGGACATGCAGCAGGTAAGCAGGAGCCGCCGATAGCGACCAGACCGCTGGAACGCACCGGATAGCGGACAGCGTCCTGAACAATGCTCCTTCGAGTCGAGCCAAACGCGGTAGTTGTTCGGCCTAGACTGGTCCCACTGCCGCAGCCTGTCTAGTTGCTACTCTGGTGGATGAAGTGAGTGAGGGAACGTTGCACCCCGGTACCGCCGACGCACCGCGGGCTCCTAGAAACCGGGCTCCTGAAACCAGGCTCTCCACGAGACCAGGGCCTACAGAAGAAAGCCGTGGGAAGGTGAGAAGGTGGCCGATACAGTTGGCAAATATCTCCGTCGATAACGAAAATACCCCGCTACCCCGCCCGTGAATGTCCGCCGCCCGTGGCATCAGTAAGGACAGGCGCACGCGAGCAACTACTCGAGGAAGAATGTTCTGAGCTGGTACAAGACAGGGAGGTGGGACAAATGACAAGAGGTTGGGTACCTCGGGATGGTGATCTGGGGTCTCGCTCCACTATTCTCAACGCCCCCCCGGCTGGAAATGCGCGTCTTTGAACTTGCATTTTTCGCGCATCTACACCAACCCGTTCGTTTCGCAAAAACGCTCTTGCATGGGGTAGGATGTACTGGGTGCCATTTCGCCCAAAAAAGGTCGTTTGCCTGGATGGACTTTGGGTGAAACGGGTGCATCCTGCCTGACGCGCCTACAAAATGGCTGGGAAATGTAGGGTCATGCTGCACCGGTAGTACTTGGCCCAGTGTTGGGCCGAGGGGCTTCCCCATTACCGCGGCACTGCGTCCGGGGGTAGCTCAACCAAACGCCCAGTCGCTGCTACAAGGCCTGGGTCCACCGATTTTGGGTTGACATCTCCCCGCAAAAGCCGGAAGATGCATTCCCATTTGCACGTCGAACAGCGTGAGAGACATCCCTGCGCAGCTCGATATGCAAAACGGGTGCATAGGAAGATGCACTCCAGTTTTGCACTAGAGAGAGAGAGAGAGAGGGTGAGGGCGAGCTGGCAAACTCTCTCTCTCTCTCTCTCTCTCTCTCTCTCTCTCTCTCTCTCTCTCTCTCTCTCTCTCTCTCTCTCTCTCTCTCTCTCTTTTCTTTTTCCGATGGGGAACCATCCCCTGGGCTACCTGCAGTCTGCCAAACGGGTGCAAGATGCATCCAAATTCGTGCACTGCAAAAACAAGAGGGAGAGAGAGAGAGGGGGCGGGGGGGGGGCAGGGGCGGGGCGAGTTGCACGGAGGGCCACGACAAACTCATCGTGGCTCTCTCTCGAAATGCAGCAGAGCCATTTTCTTTGTTTCTATTTTTATATAAATTAAGTTCGTGGTTCCGTTCTTGTTTTTTCTCTTTTTTTATTTTAAAAAAAAAATGCATTTTTCTTCTTCTTTTTTTTCTTGTTTTTTTTTTCTTTTATTTCAGAAGTAGGTTAGGTAGGTGGACAACCGATAGCTCCAACCTCGGCACGGGTCGGCAAATCAGTAGGTCGAGGCTCAGTCTTGATACCTGGGCCAGGTACTGGTGGTTTGAATTAAGTGCAACGCAGAAGCATGAATGATTATCTATCGTGAGAGTGCAGGACTTGGTCTATGTTTTTTTTTTTCTTTTTCTATTTTATTTTATTTTGTTTTATTTTATTTTATTTTGTTTTATCTTGTTTTATTTTGTTTTTTTTATGAGAGAGAGAGAGAGATACCAATACCTCATAACTTTCCTCGAATCTTGTTTATTGTCGATGCATATGTGAGTTGTTGTGGGTTGGGAGAGAGGTCCAAGTATTGGAATTAACTGCTCGAAGAGATATCAAATGAGGAGTGTTCGGATAATATTACCATTATGCATGGACTAACTTATGTTTTATTGAAGCGATAACGAAATACACCAAAAAATATGGTAGAGATTATTGCTCAATTCGGTAGTTAGAAACTCTAGATGCAGTACAACTATTTTTCGACATAGTTTAGCAAACACTCGTATAACCTTTCTAAAGTGTGTACGGTTTAATTGTACATAGTTTCATTATGAGGGAGATATAAACTTTTTTATAGTTATGTTGTACATGTGTTGGGAACCTTATTATCTTTCCCTGAGTTTATATAGAGTCTGTTTTGAAGTTAATATGATATCTTCTATAATCAGTTCTCATTATTTTTTTAGATTTAGATGGGTTTCATTTTTAGTACAAATAAATATCCCTTATAATCAAACTGTATATATATATATATATCGTCACAAATAGAACTGCCCGGTAAAACGTAGGCAGAGAGAAAAAAAAGGACAGATATATATATATATATATATATATATATATATATATATATATATATATATTAAGGAGCTGGCTAATTTTACAGGGATGTTTATTTTTGAGTTATATGAAATTACTACAAACCTTAGTTCACTGTATAGGATTGTAGCTTGTTATCAAAGTTTGATTCGTAATATGATAAATAAAGGATTTGATTATTCAATTGTAAACTTATATCATTGCTTATGCTTTTTTATAATATTTTATAGTGTTTGATACTTCGGTATAGCCGGAGCGTCACCTAAAGGAATTTGACAAATGTAAAAATAGGACATTGAACTTTAATAATTTGGTTGTTGGTATTTTTATTTAGAGAAAACTAAGGCGCGGTCAAGGTTAGAGTTTGAAAATACGTTTTAAACTGTCGTTTTGGAGTCCAAGCCCCTCTCAAGTTTACACTGCAGTCCAAACTCGTAGGTCGCGTGTCTGTCGCAGGGCAGAGTTTCTAACTGCAGTCCAGTCATCCACGTCGGAGGGCCAGGCCGTTTTCCAAAAAAAAAAAAAAAAAAACAAGGAGGAAAAAAAAAAAACTTGTGGCGCTGTATCTTTCCATGTTCTAGCAGAAGATTCGCTCTTAGTTTCCACAATAGAAATGTGCAAAATCAGAGTGAATCTTGGCTAGAACATGGAAAGATATAGCGCCACGAGCTTTTTTTTTTTTTGGGCAAAGGGGATACAGGGGTCCAACGAGATACACAGGCTAGGCCGTTTTCCAAAAAAAAAAAAAAAAAAAGACGAAAAAACGAAAAGTTTGTGGCGCTGTATCTTTCCATGCTTTAGCAGAAGATTCACTCTCAGTTTCCACGATCAAAATGTGGAAAACGAGAGTAAATAGAACATGGAAAGATACAGCGTCATGATTTTATTTTCTTTTTTGCAACGGGGATACAGGGG